GAAGATCACGCTAGAAGTAAGACAGGCTTGCTTTTAAAGTGCTGTTGTCTCAGCTCATTGAGTTTAAGCCTTTTAAAATCTGTGGAAACCATCAATTGGGATTTTTTTTCTTTCAAATTAGAGTATGATTTCAGCTGAGTATGTTATACCTTGTACTGATGTTTTACTGTATTACTTATTGTCGTGCGGTGAACCGTTCCCTTTGGCCTAGAGAGGAGGGGAGCAACAACAGACGTGTTTAGTGAGTCATGGCGTCAAATACATCGTGTACACCCGCCCTTACGCTCCCCTCGCTGTTTCATTGAGGTATTTTGTAGGCCTAAGCTATCTTACTCCAGGCCACATAAAACTGAGACGGGTGGCTCCAGGGCCGTCGAGAGCCTGGTCGGGCCCTGGGGCTGCAATCACCTTCGGGCCTCCTCCCCCCTGCCCCACCCACCCTCGAATGCAATTTAATAACCTGACAAATACAATGTACATCGGCATATATAATCACTTTACTGTAGCGTATCTATGACATACCAACATACACTCACTCTCTCTCTCTCTCTCTCTCTCTCTCTCTCTCTCTCTCTCTCTCTCTCTCCTTTCTCTCTCTCTCTCCTTTCTCTTTCTCTCTCTTTCTCTCTCTTTCTCTCTCTTTTTTCTCTCTTTCCCCCTTCCTTGCGGGCCCCCCAAACCCCCGGGCCCCGGGGCATTGGCCCCCACTGACCCCCCTCTCGACAGGCCTGGGTGGCTCCAACATTGAAGTTCAGTTACGTCCATAGTGAGTCTGGGTAGGGTGAACAAGGATCAAATGTAAAAAGCGGCGATGGATATAAATACTCTAAAAGGGTGCAGGAGCATTCTCGCTATGTAGAATCGATTAGTGTGTAGTTTTTGTATTGTAATAATAATAGTCTAGTCTGTGCGTCAGGCTCCCATTATTAAGCATTGTTATCGCATTGCTCTTGGGGGACGTACATATAGGCTACATACTCATTTTCGTTTGGATTTACTATTTCCACACTTGTCTCAGTTCTGAGGATTACATTTTGGGCATGTTAAGCTGTAAAAGTGGCAAACCAAAGAGGTGACAGCAAAATAAAAATGTAGATTTACCAACCATTACATATTTGCAGTTGGGAGTTTTAAAAAAGCACTTCAGCGCAAGAGTTTTTACGATTGGTTTTGAACTTAACCGTTTGACTTAAACAATAAATTACAGAAGAGGAGGAGCTGGGGCCCAGCCAAAAGATCAATTTAACCGAAAATTAACTCGAGCGAGTTCAACACAAGTGGAGTCGACTGTTAGCCTACATAATATTGTAAAATTGGGCTGTCCAAGGAGCTTAGAACTAATGGAGCCTCCTCTCTCTCTTCCCGGCGCCACGAGCAGTACGCCGCGGTGGGGATCAAATATGGCGACCGACTGTGGGCTAAATCACGAACTGTGGCGTTTCTTTTTATAGAATCTTATCGGGCTGGGCCACGTTGTGGGGGTGGGCGGGGTGGGGGAATGCACGCAAGGAAGAGGGGATGGGGCTGGGATGAAAGAGGAGGGGCGGGCCTTGGGAAGGGACGAAGGAGAATGGGGAAAATTAAATAAAAGAGAGAGACAGACAGACAGACAGACAGACAGACAGACAGAAAGACAGACAGACAGACAGAGACAGACAGACAGAGAGAGACAGACAGACAGACAGACAGACAGACAGACAGACAGACAGACAGACAGACAGACAGACAGACACAGAGAGAGAGAGAGAGAGAGAGAGAGAGAGAGAGAGATTGTGATCAACTGACGCGCTGACGGATAATGACAGGGAGAAAAAAAAAGTATGTGTGTGATACGGACTGTTCAATTCTTTAAGAGTTTTATGTTATAATCTAGTTTAAAGATAAAAAAGATGTGTAAAATAAGAAAAAAACGTGTCCGAGTAACATAAAATTATCAAAAATACCAAATTATAAAGATAATATTTCAAGATGCTAAAATATTTAATTAAGAAATGGATAAAAATATACTTTTAAACAGAATTTAAGATATATGATTGCATGATTCTAGACGTGTGCCATAACTAACTTTATGTGTAAGGAATAGCGGACACAAAAGAGGGTCGATGTTTGCTTTATCTAATTGCTAACAGTATGTCTTGGTCTATAAATTATAAATAATATTATTGATCACAATAATTTTGTTTCCTGGTTTTCACAAAGTGGAGCGCACAATGATTTCAAAAAAAAAAAAAAAAAAAGAGATAACAGCACCCTTGGAGGTGCGATCGCATGCATGAGCGTGGATAACCTTTGAAGGGTTTATTTTATTTTTTGTTTGTTCAGTAAAGTATGATATGGAGAGCAGCGTTTTTATTCCCTTATTACACTCCAGAGGGGGATAATTTAACTTAGTGATCACTCTTGTGTAGTAAAATTTGTTGTTGCTTTGTTTGGTTTATTTTTTAACAGCAGAATCTTAAGTGAACCGGAATTATTGATTGTGGGATCTTAGGTGAAGACTACAACAATAGAATTAAACCGAGTATAGTTCTATCCAACAAGACTCAAACTCTTATCCACCCCACCCTACCCTCTCCCCTCATGTGATATGGTTTGGTGTTTCTTTAACATAGAAAATATTCATCATTATTGTTGTTGAGTATTGATTTCATGTTCTAATGGAGCCTCTAGATATCTACATTTAGACTACAGTAGCATCAATTTGCACACACAACGGAAAGCAATATCTTTAATTAAAATGTATAATGTGTATATACATACACACACATAATAATTGTATATACTCATAATAATTATATATATATATGTATGAATAAGAATACTTTTTAAAAATTGAGTATCTCGGTCTTTCTGCTGGGGTGTTGTATCCCTTTCAGCCTGGGTTGGCCTTGGCATGTAGCGCCGGAGCCAGCCTCTTATGAATATTAATGATTTAAATTGTGTTGCTGGGGGGCATAAAAACACATTCATTCAATTTTTTAAAAAGGAAAACAACTGTGAAAACGTCGGTCCACTGCAGCATCATATCGGTTCTTACACTTAAATACAACACAGGTGCAAGGCATTTTTACTAATTGACTTGCCTAATCTGAAGGACCTCGGAATAAAACCTTCTTTCTTATCTAGATTTCAATGCCTTAGTGGGGCAATCGCGCAGCGCAGGTAGCCCACGGTTCCGCCGCGGCGCTTTTCCCTTTCGTCAACCCG